GATTAACAGTGGTGCCAACGCATCCCTGGAGCACCATCTGAAGCATCTTTGAGTCTGCAGGGTCCTGGTGGGTGGCGAAGGCCAGCTCTTGGGTTTTCTTCTGCATATCCTCTATTGCCACTTCCATGGGCATGAGAATAATCTGCAGGGAGGAGGAGACATGGCTAGAAAGTGACCCTCCATGTTTCGGCAGTCAGTACTTGTCAAAGCAAAGTGTCTCTACCTCCTCTTTGTGTATGATGTTAATGCGGGTCTTGATGTAGGGGAATGCGTGGGAGGTGGTGAGGATGGTCTTTCGCTTGTACTGCTCGTGAAGGTCACCGTGTGCCCGACCGTCCAGCGTGAAGGGCGTACAGTACATGAAGGTGCGCAGGTTGTAGTTCTTGTCAAAGTATGTGATCCGTTCCTTAAGCTCATACGTGTCAAAGAAAGGCTCCACGTAGGTGATCTGCAGGTAGGCCTGGAAAAAGACACCAGCTCTGTTCAAAAACCAGGGTTATTGTGGTTTTAACCCCAATAATGAGATATGAAATATTAGATTTGGTTCCGTGATGCATGTATAGAGGGTCTGCATTGACAGTACTTCTACTCTGGGCCATGCCCCTTCACTCAGAGGCAAAACAAGGCGGAAAAATAGCCACATTTAATGCACAATGAAAATGTGCTGTACTGCATGTTATTCTTTTATCTTACAGGCTTAAGTTTAAAAGAATTGGACTCTACTGTGATCCTCAAGACTCACTAGATCTTTCCATGGACAGAGATAGGATTTCCTGACATTCATTTGATGGTCATGCTTTAAAGTTGGATTCATCAGGTACATTAAAGTGACATCAATGGACATTCTGGTTGTATGTAGACAGTTATGTTAATTTTTTTGTTATTAAATACTTATATTAGTGTGAGTGTTAGCTAGCCTATAATTAATTTATTCAACAAAAGTGATGTCAATGCACTTTTTTTTTAGTATTTTTGTCATTTTTGTAAAGTTGTATTTCAATTCTTCTTAGCCTGACTGTTGTGAATTTAATCATTTATATTAAATTGCAGAGGATAGGTATGACCAAATAAACAGTCAAAATATTCTTTCAAACTTGTGTCAAAGTTCTGTTCAAACGTAAAAATAGAATGAACACTTTGAATATTTTATTGAATATAAATTACACCAATACAGTGGAAAAAAATGTATTTTTTGTAACCAAAACAAGCTTAAATCTGACCTTATTGGGGTCCAGCTTGCTTTTGTCGACAGGGTTGGAGTCCTTGATGATCGCTACCACATCGTCGCCAAAGCGTTCAGAGTAAAACTCCTTCAAAGCAAACCAGCATTAAGCTCATTTAAGATCCAATAACAACCACACAAAACTATCCGTGTCCATAACTTTATTCATTGATTTATTTATGAATGATTTAAAAAAACAACAACAAATAACTACATTTTAAGTGTCATTTTATTAAAGGTATTTATTTTAACTATTGTAACTTCCACCTCTAGTCTATGTGAGATCTCAGCCAGTTTAGTGATGGAAGGCTCTTTATAGACAAACTCCTGCTCATCCAGATCTCCAAAGCGGCATCCGTAGAAGCCAACACGAAAGTAGGTGCCAAACATCCTCTGCAGCCTGAACATTGAGGACAAAGACACACATAAAGAAAGACTACGGCACGACTCATAAAATCACTTTATGATGCTTCAGAGCAATCACGCCCCTAGGGCATGACACAGATGGCATGGGTTTATGGATCTGAATGTTCAAGCATGTGCTCCAGGACACACACTGACTCATCACATTGTGTTGAAATGGCTTTATGTAAGTCAGACAGAGATGCTGAACCATACACTGGGACTTTTATGCTGGGCAACTGGGGTCATGTTCACTCACCATGAAAACATCCAGACCGCACAGGAGGAGTCGAAAGGAGGAATAAAAAAGATAAAGACCAGAGACAGTTAGTTTCTGCGGAGGAGAAAATTCCCTTCAACATAAACTGCTACATGTGGTAGGAATAAATAGAGGAGCAGTGAGTGATGGAGCAGGCTTACCTCCCATCCTGAACTCTGTGTACGGACACAGCAGGACACATATCAGCACAGAGAAGACACAAACAGAAAGACGTCCGTCACACGGCTGAACCACACACACTTCAACAACAGAAACAGCTGGGATTGACAGAATGGAACGGTTTTAAAAACATTCACACAATGTAGTCGTTGTTTGAACACATCCAACACCGCTCCTGCACAGTTTAGCTTCAGCCTTAATCAGACGAACCTCATTACACTAATAAAGCTCCATTTTTTTACAGAAATTATCTTTCTCGCTCTCTCCTACCCTGAACCTTGAAAGAGTGGTTCTGAAAGACTCAAGAAGCTTTTTCAAGGTTCAGGGAAGGTGAGAAGGAGAAAGTTCTCAAACACTTGAAATATATTCATATTAGCTGTGATGCAACTTCCTGTTTCTATTGTTTCTTTGACACACCTTAATTAACATGTTTAGGTTTTGAGTTGCCAAACCTGATTGTAGACTTTGTTGAATGCATCCTGGAGTTTCCCGTGCACTGAGGCAAGCTTCTTAAAGTCTCTGTTAGCCTCATGAATGGGACAGAGGATCTTATAAACCTCATTAATGGCCTCATACATAGCGGCCTAGCGGAAAAAAAAAACAGAACCTAGTCAGCACTAACTTATATAACGGCAAGCAATCCTAAAGAATCTGTGGCAGTGACTTGATACGAGTCTAAATCCCTTTGAAATGCTCAGGACTATGGGGGAGAGATGGGGTGAGTTCTCACCATGTTGAAGGAGGCAGCTGCTTGCTCCAGAAGCCCCACTAGGCCTGACTCGGTGAAGTACTTCCCTGAACAGATGCCCTCCTCCTCAGGGGACACAATGTCATCGGACACCGCAGACTCCTCCAGCACATTAGACGAGACACTCTGAGAAAAACAATCAACATAAAAACATTATAAGAGTACAATCCAGTACAGAATGGTTACTGGGTGTCAGATGCTCAATCAAAAGAGGGCGGGAACAGTTTGTGCAGCATCATTAAGCTGCCCTGAATCATTTTAAATCACTGTAAGATTGTAATATAACTTTTATGACTGTTTTTGCCCAAGCAAAACCCCAGAGACACAAAACATATATATATATATATATACACACACACACACACACACACACACACACACACACACACGCACGCACGCACGCACACACACGATGTTTACCTGGAAAGATACACAACCGATGGGCAAGTAGCGGCAATCTTCAAGCATATTGAGGTACTCAGCCACCAGGGCAGCGCTGTGCACAAGGCAGTGAGCCGCCTCTGCATGGTTCCCTCGCTCAGAATGCTTCCCTGCCATGTTCTGCAGCCAGGTGAGCCGCAGGTCTGGAGAGTTCTGATAGCCTTTAGCAATCCTGTGATGAGAAGACCACATGAGTCACATGGGATGTCCACTTTGATTCATTAGGAGAGAGAGAGCACTGACCTGTACATGAGATCAATCAGCATCTCTGGGTCCTGTTGGTGCTCCTTCATTTTTACAGTGTCAGTCAGGATCATGTGAAGATTAAAGACCAAGTCCTGAACCTAAAGCCAAGAAAGGACAAGCACATTAGCACACACTTAACAGATACATCCAGTCTCAGAAGGGTGCTTTCACTCATATGTTTTGAAAAACCCAAGGAAAAAGGGGGTGATTAGCCATGAATTAATCAGATGGCTAACCACTTGTGTGATTCTGCTTCACAGTGCAGTGGATTTGTTTCTCGACTCTCTTAATTATGGTGTGGTTAACATTGTTAACAGTTGGAGCACAATTCAACAGCTACAGAAATGAAAATGAAAAGTGATGTATAATTTCAGTCTATTGAAACTCAAAATAGCTGTTATCATGTAATAATAATTAAAATGCCATATTATTATAAATGCCAAAAATGCCATATCATTTTGATTGTCTCTTAGCAGGAGTATAATAATCTGTGGAGAATTAACAGTGTGTTGCTGTGGCGTTGTCATCCCAACCTGCTCTGGAAAGGGGGAATCTCTTAGCTCCAAGTCATCTTCGGCATATGTAAGGATGGTTTTCAAAGATCGCCGCAAATGCTCTTCATTGAACGTTTGAGAAGTTCCCACGAGTGAAGACAGAGACATGGTGACCTGCATCTTCACACGGGCAAAATTCTACACAAAGGGAGGATGTAGTTGTCATTTGCCATGGATAAAACAATTGCATTAGCTAAAGTAGGCAGCGTGTGAGCCTCACGTTTCCGATCTCAAAGTTTTGCCTCATGAGCAGGTACAGCGAGGCGCTGGCGTGGCTCCGCACGGTGCTGATGCTGCTGCTGCAGTGACGTAGCAAGCGCAGACAAAGGTCTGCACACAGCTCTGTGTCCTCCTCAAAGAGCATCTCTGGGAACTGCACAAACAACCAGTACAGCATGAGAACAGAGCTGTTTAAACCCTTGTACATTGTTCAAATTCTCTACCCGAAAACAGCCACTAAATTAAACTGCTGTGAAAATCTGATCAATTAAAAACTTAGTGGAAAATAAAGAGATTTATGCACAAAAAGTTGATTATTATTGCTGTTTAATTTTGTCACATTTTGGCCGTTAACAGCTACTAACATGAAAAGGTAATGATTTTTTTTAGAATTATTTTAAATTTCAAAGCATTGTCACAAAATATGTGTAAAAATAAGAGGTCACCATCATTCAATTAGCAAAATCAGAGAAAAAGTTTAAGCCAGAATTACCCTGAATTGGCTGAAAATATCCCCAACAACACATAAAGGTTACAAACTGTTTTGATTGTTTACAAGTTTGTATCATTTACATTTATATTTTATTTTAGTTTTTAAAGACATACACACTTTGTAAGTAGTTTCAGAAAAATCCAATGATTTCATTTACATTCACATTTATGCAATTGGCAGACGCTTTAATCCAAAGCGATTTGGATCCAAACACGTACATTTTTTTTGTCAGTTCCTGCTTTCCCTGGCACTTGAACCCACAACCTTTGTGTTGATAGCACAATGCCGTCGCAACTGAGCTACAGGAAAGCTATTTCACCTTTAATAAGCATAGAACCGTATTGGATGAATCTCAATACAACCAATCCCCCCCCCCCCCACTTCTAAAAAGATCTGCACTTTGTTTAAATTATTGTCCATTTCCACCTTGAAACGGGCCACAGACCTTGTAAACAAGAGCTCTCTGAGTGCTGAAGCAGTGCTGCAGGAAGAGGGCGCTCTGGTTTCCAGCCATGCTGTGAAGAAGGACTCTTAGAACCCCTCCCAACACACTCTCCTTCAGCTCAGACATCACCACCGTCTGAAAAACATTCAAACGTTTCAACACAAGGAATGTGATGAGTGGTTTCACAGAGTATGTGTTAAAACAAAGGCATCAAATCCTTCTTTACTTTTACAATGATCTCCAGAGTGTCCAAGACGATAAGAGCAGCTTCGGTTGCCAAGTTTCCGTCCACCACCGACTCCTGCTCCACCTCGGCCTTGGTTCTGTGGAGAGACAGCAAGCTATTTATAGTGCTCGCTCAATACGCATCCTGTGATTATATTCTTAGGTAGAGCAACAGTGTTCAGACATCCAGTGAAAGTTGCAGGCACTAGAGAGATATTGAGAAAAACAGATGTACTTGTCCACTCTGTCTGCGTTCTGCCTCCAGTGAGTGACGTTCTTCCTCCAGCGCACATTTTCTTGGCCTCCATAAGGACTGCGCTCTGGGCAAACACACAGTAAACTGAAAATCAATCTTAACTCTTGCTTTTCTAAACATTTCTTTCAATCTCAACAGAGAGGGCTGCACCTCTGCAGCGTCGGACCATCTCCTGCCTCGCCCCAATGGTGCCCAGTATGGCCTCCTCCAGACGTGCCTTCATGTCTTGAGACTTCTTAAAAGTCAGACTGTTGATCCTCTCAAGGGCTTTCTTTCCCTGTCATGGGGCGCAGTGAATACATGTTAAGAACGATGTCCTAAAATATCCTTCTCTACTAGGAAGTCACATGTACCACAGTATGCAAAAGAGATCTAAAACTAGACACTTTTTTCCCACTTGGTCAGGGTTTTTGTAGGTTAAACAATGTCAAACTTAAGGCTTTTAAAGACCATTAAGAATCAAATCTAAAACTTATAACTACATACATTTATGTTAACAAACAGCCATAAATTAACATATAAAATATAAATCCCTATAAAAAAATATTAGGGTTCACAATAACTATCAGGGTCGATAATTATCAAGTCGGTAATGCGAAATTATGACGTCATTCCAATAAGTCGATATCATGTATTTTGCCCCAATAACAATAATTTTTTTCAGATCGACCTGGCTCTGCTAGAACTGAACTGAAACGTTAAAGAATTGTGCATTCAATTAATGTCATCACAACCAGCGTGCAGCATTGAGTGGCAACAGAGAACATGGCGTCAGCAGGGGGGCTTCTTTAAAGTTTCTGAAGATGACAGTTTGCTATTTTTCTGCAACAAAAGCCTGAAGCAAGTTCCACGAGGAGGGAAAAGAAAGCGCTAGCTTCAACACTACAAACCTCGTGGGTAACCTCAAGCACAACCATCGCTTCGACAGAGTGTTGAACGTGTTTGAGGATGCCCAGGATGCTAAAAACAACAAGCGCACCACTAAGAAGTCAACGGGTCTCGCCAAAATCTGTGAAGCTGTTGACAAAACGAAACAGTTTGCCAGACATGACCCTTGGCTAAGTGAAGATATAGTAATTGAAATTACGGTGCTTGACGCCCAGCCCTTCACCCTCGTTGAAGACTCTTTGTAATAACTTTATTTTGTTCTTTATAATAACATCATAAATGCATTTTCTATATCAGTGCGGAGGCTGTTTTAACACAAAGAGTCTTGGAATAATCATTTGGCGCTAACAAACGCCAACCTCTCACATAGAAGATAGAAATGTTCAATGCTGTTTAATTGAACTAGAATGTTCCTGATAAAGTGAATGTCTGATGAACATCAAACGTTAAACTAACTTTACCGTGAGGTGGGGCAACACACACATTCACTCACATATTCAAACCTATGGGGAAATTATATTGTTCATTAAACCCAACCGCATGTTCCAGTTCTATATTGTACAAATGACTTTTAGTAGTTCCCCATGAGAATTGGAATTCCTAGTGTGGGTTTTTCCTCTAGGAGCTCTGGTTTTCCCATCTGTCTAAAACATGCACTAGGCTTGTGCTAATAAAATATAGCAAAACCTTTTACCTGAGAACTAGAACTAATCGATATTACGCTAATAATCTTGTGAATCTGCTTTGAAGCATCTGCATAAAAGCGCTTTATAAAACATCTTATTTTACTTGTCCGTGAACAATGAATTTATTCCACTGTGATCCAGAGGGCATGGATGTACCTTATATTCGAAGCAGGAGAGACAGAGATGAAGAAGATCCAGCAGACGGTTGATCTGTGGCACAGACAGGTCAGAAAGCCAGCGCTCCAGCAGAGCTGCATCTGCATTCTTCAGCACCCACAGGAAACAGACCAGGAGAGTCCGGCTACACTCTGCTGACAGCGCACTGCACTGACGCCCTCCCTACCAAAGACACATTTACATTCATCTACAACACATAAATAACTTCACATGGTCCAAACAGAGAAAAAAGGCTGAACACACAACACATCCTGCAGTCTGTTAGGAGCAGACATACACAAAGGACGTCACTACACAGCCACATGTTTAACAAACACTCAAACAAACATGAAAGTCATTTCCTCAGCCATTCATTTTCACTGATGAGACAAAAAGCTTCATTTCAGAGGAGCGTGATGTCAGTGCGCCTCTAATGGGGGACAACGGTACAGCAGCTATGAGAGGAGACTGGTGTGAAGGCAGTGAGTACTTATTGAACAGCACCTCTAGTGGAGATAACGAAACACTGCAGCTGTTACATCACTCTGAAAAATGCCAGGGAATTTCCAGTGGACCAGGCCTTCCATACACCAAATTCCAAATTCCCTTCCATCTTTTTTATTTATTTTACTAAGAGCTTCAGAAAATGCTAAAAATTCAACTGCGTGTACAGAAATAAAGTTATTGTGCAAGGCAAAACTTTCACTTTTATTAGGAAAAAAAAGTGAAACTCTATAAGGGAAAAGGTAAACGAGGAGTTAAGTATTTTGAGCTGCTTACCGAATAAATAGCGAACTAGCTTCAACCACCTCATTCAAACAGTAATTTGATTATTTGTTGATTACTTAAACAAAAGAGTAATGAGAGAATTAAAATAAAGCGAAAGATGTATTAAACAGCAGAGAGATGGTTCCCTCAATCATACAGTATTCATGAGATGATTAATTAATTGCACGCAGGTACTCACCACTGAAGGCAGAGTAAAGGGGTTGGCTTTAGTATGGGGCAGCGGGGAGCCAGCGATCGCCATGGCAACAGACTGGCTAATGGGGCTATTGTCTGGATCATTTTCCTCATTGACAACCGTCGATGCATGACGTATACGCTGCTGAGATGTGTCTGCAACAAACAAAGACGGAGAGATACAGATCTTGCCTGAAATGAGACTTTTGTTCAGTTGTAGTGACCTTTGCGTATAAACAAAGAGTTCATATAAATACCCACAAACAAAAGTGGGACTCTCTTACCAGTGAAGTCATGGAGCTGGGGCAGCGTCTCCATGACGATGGGGATGAGTGGCAGGTAGAGCTGGGCCAGATGCCAGCGCACCTGAGGGTCTGTGTAGCGGGGGTCTGCATCATGACTGCACAGCAGAGAGTGAAGCGAACTGATCGACTTCTTGTGCAGGAAGAACACACTACGAGAGAATGATGCAGGAATTTGTCGGTTAAATTATTCAGCTACTTTATTAACTTTTTTCTTGAAAATGTTACAATACAAAGTGTCTTTTAAAGTTCTATTACTTTAGAGCACACTTTAACCCTTGCAAACAGCTCACAAAACCACTCAAATGAATTTAAAGCGGTTGTGAACTGAGCAATGAAAATAGCTTTTAGAGCAAGCTATTTTAGAGCAAGCATTTTAAAATGGGTGTAAAAAGGGAAACAGTGACATAAGACTTTACTTTTTGATGGTCTTATGCCACACTCAAAGGCATGGAAAAACAGATTTACATGCTTTGGTAATTCAAAGTGCTTTAAAGATGGATAACACAGTGAATGAAAAACAGTCAGAAATTATAATTAATTTACAAATCCAAGCTGTTATCCGCGGATAAGGACCATTAGTCTATAAATGCACATTTAATTGGACATGTTTTAGTTAGGATTTAATTTAAATGTTTAAACACCTACTCTCTTCTTAATGCTGGTTACAGCTCAGGGTTGCTTAGTAACTCATGATAAATAGTCATCTTTTTTAAAACTTTTTTACATCTATTGCAATACAAAACAATCAGATCTCCATTAAAAGACCAAAGTGAATAGAATAAAGGAAATAAAAAAACAGTTAATAACCTCTTTAAAGTAATTTCCACGAAAGTGGATTTTTCAACACACCCTCTTTATTTTTGTTTAATCAGTGCTTATGCTCCATTTTAAACAGTTTCTTTTAGAAACAAAGTACATATATTTTTATGATTTTATTTGCTGTTGGGGAGCTGGACCCAATTAAGATTTTTAGCTAATACATTTTGGATGCATTAAAGGCATTCTTGCAAGTACATTTGTTTGGAAGATGTATTTTATTACACAGGTAACAAAGGTGTCCTTCCTGGAGAGTCAAAGCCTGGCACATTTTAGTTCCAATCCATAACTAGGTTCAAACAAGCCAAAAGAATGTTAAGAATTGAATCAATACCATCTCCTGTCAATTCTATTCAATGTACGAAATTATAATCAATATTGTATTTAATTGTGAACACCTTCCACAGAGGGAACCATGGACTTACAAATTGGTTGATTGTATTGTAAAAAAAGAAAACAACTGTTTTATCTTATCAAAAACAGCTCCATTTTTCTCCTGAGTACTGCTGGCCCTCTCTATTCGTCATTCCACTGAATCCTCATCAGTTCCATTGTTGAGGACCATGATGGA